GGCTTGTCCTGTCCTTCTAGAACCAGGGCCTTTGGTTCTGCTCACGGTGACTGATTTTGGAGGAGGGGCTGGCAGCCCTCAGCCCGGCTGAGCCCAGGCTCAGGCAGGTTCCCATTCCAGCTCATTCCTGGCCAGTCCAGCTGCTGCTCTGCCACCCTGCAGCCACCCCCAGGGACACCTGCCCTCCTCAGGACTCCACCCTGACTACATCACCATCCCCCCTCAGCTACACCAGGTCCTAGGCTGAGCTTTCCAGGAGCCTCTGCTCCGCTGGCAATGCAGAGTGGCACAGCACGTCCTCCCGCCAGCCTGGGAGGCACAGAGCCCATCTGGTCAGGCTCTTGCCCTTTCCACCACTTCAGCTGATGGTTGGTAGGTTCCCAACTCAGTAGAAACAAACTCTAACCATCGAGAATAACCCTGATGGCAAAAAATAAAATAATTATTTTAAATGTAAACATGGTGTTCTATGCAATAGGATTAAAAATTGCAGCACTCGGATCCTTCTCTGGCTCCCACCAGCCCAACTCCCTCCTCATATGCACAGATCTCCCCAAAACCAGAGATTTATCTGGGGAAACATCAATAGCCAAGCTTACTTCAATCCAGGGACTCATTTGGGGCAGGAGGGATCTGGCCATCAGGAGCCAGACACATTCACTGAAACATTCATCTTAAAATCAACACATCTAAGGAGTTCAAACTACAAGCAAGCAATTGGATAGCCAAGCACACGGTGGGGGCTAGTCCAGGGCTGGGTCCCAGCCAAGGGCAGCAGAGCAGCAGTAGGGAAGAGCCTAATGGACGTGGGAAGATCAGCTGGGAAGAGCTCAGAACAAGGCATGGCTTGTTGACATGCAGGAGCTGGCATGCACAGGACCCGTGGACTAGCACACGCTAAGAACATGGAGAGGGAGAAAACTAACAACCAGGAGACTTCACAAAGGGCAGTGCTCCCTCTCTGTAAGGCTCTGGCCAAGAGCACAAGGCACTGTTTGCATCCCAGCACAGAACATGAGCTCTCCAAGCAGGATGCACCTAAGCCAAACAGTTTTACACACAGCCTTATAGCAAGGGAACACTGTAAATACATCAGTGTGTATGTTTGTGTGTTACAAATATAGATACACACACATATATATATAAATATATATATACAGATACACACGGAGATAAAATCATGTACATGACATAAGTGGAGTCACATCACAGGAGCGGAGAAGTTTGCTCACCATTAGCAAATATCCTATGAAAGACTGTTGTAACAGAGCAGCCCGTGAGCGGGAAGTAAAACGAGATAAAGTCAATGAGTTGGTGAACAGCAAAGCACTTACATCCATAGAGACAGCTGGGTCAGAGTCAGGGCACACAGGGACAGGACTGAGCACCGGGCCCTGCCTCCAGCCACCTCTTCAAAAGAAATTTACCTAAGGAACATCAGGGCTTCTACCTGAGAACCAGATCGGGCAGCAGAGACAAGGCATCTCTGACCAAGCAGAAGATTATGGCTGACTCTGAGACCAAGAAGCTGGAAATTCTGTTCTGTGAGTGTTCTACAGTCCCACCCACCCCACCCCTTCAGCAGATCATTCCCTTTCTCTATATCCCAGTAGCTTCTGGCCACAAATCTCAGCAGGAGAACCCACACTTACACACCTGGCCACATAAAGCCACAGCAGAGCTAACACCCACAAGAGTCCTGCCCCATGGCCTGGAACTGAGGGCAGACTCTGAGCAGACACAACTAAAGACAGACTGACTCTAAGGTCAGGAGTGATGCAGCCAGGAGAGATGCACAGCAGCAATGCCTGAAGGCACAAGGGGGAAATCTGCACTGCACTCCACGGAGCCTCCTCTGTGCTCCATCAAGGTCTCACTCAGCAGATGCTGACACACTGCCACGTCTCAGGAGCACCAGAGGACACTGAAACCCTCCACCTTGAGGCCTCCCTCCTGCTGGGGTACTCCAAGAGCTGCCCAAAAGGACTTTTAATTCAAACACACCACTTCTTTCCACCTGTGAATGGGTGTTATGCTGCCAGTGAGAATTCCAGGAACAGCTCCCAGCAATGCCACCACAAGCAGGCAGCAGCACCAGGCACCCTGTGTGTACACGCTGTTCTTCCCACACCCAGGGCAGCTGCAGCCCCAGGAACACACCTGGCAGCACATCCCCTTGTTAGTCAGCACAGACACCCACGGAGGCACCACTGCGCTGCACCTGGGCTCTGTGAAGAGTTCACACAGCACAACTCACACTTATCACAAGGAATGCTTTCATCTGACCACAGCTCCACAAAGCAGGTGGAACATTCCAGTCTCTGGGAATACCAGTGGCAAGTTTAAGAGCTGTAAGTGTCTTTCCTATCCTCATCACTCATTTGAAACATTCTCCTTAAATCTATAAACTCTGCACTTTATGGAACTGGAGAATAAAACATTAGCAAATAAATGTATTATGGATGGCTTTTGCATTTAAGCATTATGCAAAATATTTCCTCCTTCCCACTCCCTTTTCCTTCCACAGCTGACCCCCAGCACACAGATTTACAGGCTGAACAGAGAAACAGTGATCAGTGCAGCCAGTGCACATGCTCCTGCCTCTGAGGGAGCAGCAAGGAGCAAAGGGCTGTTCCCACCCCTGAACGTGTCACAGGAACCACCATCAGACATTTCCAACGTGACGCTGCTCCCCTGGCACGCCCTCCCCCAGCAGACAGCAGGATGTCCTGCAGTGCACACCAGCAGCTGCCTTAGCCAGCGTTTTACATTCAGCAAGTATTCTCTTTGCCAAAGCCACAGGGAGAGGAACTCTGGGAGCAGCATCCAGCACAGTACTGACAACAGAGACAGCACCAAAGCACAGCTCATTGTGCATTTATGGGGAATCCTTGTTCCCCATAAATCCACAGAAATACTGTCCTGCTGCTTTTAAGTAAACACAGGGAAGTGCTCAGATACCAGCCAGCTGTACAGAACAAGGACAGGAAGCAGCAAACATGAGCCTGACATTGTCAGTGACCCTGGAGCAACTGTGGTTCCAGGCCCAAACTCACACCCAGCCCGTGTGGCACTGCAAAGGCAGCAGTGCCAGGGAGAAAGGCTCAAGCTCCAACACAACCAGCAGTCCTGGGGATGCAGCTTTGCCTTTTCTGGTTGGGTGGGCATTGCAGGAATAGGAATACATCCTGCAACACTGTCAAATCTAATTCCAGCCTGCACTGAAGCCACAGCTTTCCCATCTGGAGGATTCCCCTTTTGACCACAAGCCCACTTGCAATCACTTCCTTTTTTATTTAGGAAAGGACCAGAATCTTTTAGATAAATTACTTCACTTCTGAACATGAGGAGAGCCAGGCAGCCCAGAGCTGTGGAGCAGAGAGGTCTGCTCAGGAACAGCTGCACATGAGCACTGCAGCTGCAGTCACCCTCCAGCACATCCTGCAGCTGTAACAGCACAGACACCCACTTCTCCTGGTGTGAGCACACACACGTCCCTCCTGCTGCACCTGACAGAAGCAAAGCTTTGTGAAACTGAAGGGAGCAAAGGTGTAACAGTGCTGAGGCCACCATTTGTACCCACAGCTGAAGAGCCACCCTCCTACACAGCCTCTGACCAGCAGCCCTGGAGCTGCATGCTCTGGGAGCAGCAGGTCTGAGGAGCTGCAGGATCTCCCTGTGGTGAAAGCCGTGGCTGCAATGCCAGCTCCATGGGTTTGGTTTTACAGACAGCGCTGGCTGCCCTGCAGAAAGATGGCAGCTGCATGGTACTTCGAAACTAAACTAAAAAAGGGAATTTCTTGAGTACTCAAGTCTTCCCATCAGTCTGAACTGAATGCCAGGGAGTTTTCCAGCATACAGGTACTAGATGTACCTACTCTTGGAAATCTCTCCCACTTGGACAAAGTCAGGAAAACACAATAAAGTCTGTGTGACGACACAATGATCAGCTTGTGTGAAGAGCAAGTCCCCAAGTTTACAGGCAGATCAGGAGCAGAGTGCTCCTTTTGCCATGATCCTGTCTCCCTGCTACAAGGACAAACCTGCTACCCCAGTTTTGGAACAAAACAACAACACAGGAATTCTTTGATGGGAAGAAAAGCCACAGGTCTGCAGCTGATGGAGAGGCTATTTCTGGATGACAGGTGATGCAGAGCATCCTTCCCTGTACACTGCCACACCAAAGCAGAACTTACACAGACAATAGCTCCAGGAAAGCGAAGACCTATTCCTCAGATTGAGAATACTTGCCGAAGTTGAACAACAGGTAGCAAAGCTGTCCCTTGAAAGGTCATGTCAAGGTGTGAAATAATGCATCCTGACTGCAGACAGATTTTTAGAGATATGGGAATAGCAGGAAAAACCAGAGCATGCAAGGATGCTCTGCGCTGCCAGGAACATCACTGCTTACTTATGAAATAAACCGTTTTGGCACAGGGTGGCTGCTCCAGCAGGGCACCTGTGTGCCAAACAGGCCGAGGGCAGCTCAGCAGCCTGAAGGCATGCCCATTATCCCATGGGATAATGGGATGCTGGATAAGCCACTTGCTGCAGCCAGAGTCTGTCCGCTCTATTATAAACATGGGCTGCTACATGCAGCACTCTTGCGGCTTCATGGACACAGCTCCCCAGGCAGCTCCCAAAGCTCCACAGTGCTGGGAGGAAAACTCTGTGTATTAACATGAAAACCTGCAGAGCAGATGAACCCACAGATTATGTGCTTACAAAACCTCCAGGTTTCAGCACCATTTCCTGCATTTCCTGTGTGTACAGACCCTTGAGACAAAAAGCTAAAGAAGAGGCTAAAGAAGAGTCACTCCTGCACCTGACAAGGGTCCAATCACCAATTCTGTTCCCAGTCTCTGGCACATCTGATGTGGAGGTGGAGAAGCACATGTACACACATGTCTATCATGCCAGGGAACCTGGAAAGGAGTAGTTGCCTTTCTCTGTTTGGGCAGTCTGTCTGATAAGGCAGGGGCACCCCCAGCAAGCATTACCTGACCCAATTTTGATCAGTCCGTTGTGCTGGATGAAGATGGTGTCACAGGTCAGGTTGCCATGGATGATGGGAGGATCACAGGAGTGGAGGTAGCTGGAGATGCAGAACAGAGCACTGGTCAAGGCCTTGAATCCCTCCCTTCACACCCTCCCACATCAAGAAACATCAGAAGAGAACAGGAGAGCAAAGGGCACATGCCAGGGGTTTACAGCAGGCAGGAGATACAATTCAGTGACTGTACATCAGCCTCTGGCTGAGAACCAGGAACAAACAGGAATTGTCTCTAATGAATCTCCAGAACATGGCAGAGGGGAAGAGAAAGCTTTCTCCTATCACTGCCCAAGAAACTCAGGGTACCAGAGGCAAAGACACGATTTCATCCAACCCAGTACTGCTGAATGGAATCTAAAAGGGTTACAATTTTATTTTTATACCAAAAATATCAGAGCCTCAGTCTGTCCGTACTCAAAGGGGACCAAAGAGGCACTTAATGCTATACACACACAACTGGGCATGTTTATCAGCAGGCACAAATAAAGCTTTTCAGTGCTGGGTCCCAGGTACACTGTTTTTGCATCTCACTCTGCTTGGGTTTATGTTAGCAGCTAGCAGAAATGAGGACAGTCTGCTGCCAAAAGCTTATTAGAACCCGAACTATTCACCAATAGCTGTAATTTAGCCAAGTGGCACCAGAGTTTCCTCTGTGGAGTGCAAGCCATGCTCTGTCATCCAGGCTATTGTTTTTCTCAGGTTCTAATTAGCTACTCACCAACTCTAGCTCAGGTGGAAAAGAATTTTTAAAACCCAAACCACATTCGACTCAGCTCTATTGCACTAAGATGGATGCAGAAGAGCTGCACCATCAAGAAATGTACACACACATCTAATAACACCATGCCTCAATATCCATGAATCCACTGCCTGTAACAGGCCTGCAGCCTGCCAGCACTATGGAAGTTTTTCTCAGTCCTCTCACATGGAACTTGATTTCCCTGTCATCTTTGCAACATCCTCCTGACCAAGGAGAAACCTGGACTATAAAACTGGATACACTGGAGAGCTCCCTAATACTTAGCTGCCACATCAGTCCCAATGGCTGGGATCTCAAGGTCAGTACCCCACATACCTGAGAGCAGAGAGGATCTGGGTGCACCACCGCTTCCATGCCTGCAGATACAAGAGGAAAAGGAGAAAAGTCATCCACAAGGAGCTAATCCCTAGTTCTGTGATTCACAGCCCACTCGTAGGAAGCAATACCTGCTCCAGCTTTTACTCAGTGCAGGTGTAAAGAATCAGTACTGCTATGGTCAGCTTGTTTCTATATATTCCCATGGATCCAGAAACACACCTGTCCTCCAGTCTCCCGTGCACAGACACCTTCCCCCTTCCTGTGAGGGCCCCTGGAGAGGGACATGCCTGTCACACCACACCTAAGAAGCTGCAGAGCTGCTGGCAGTAAAGCAACCAGCACAGAACGGCTGTCCCAGAGAACCTGCAGCTGAGCTAGGCTACAGGGACACAGGGGAGCTGCAGCAATGTGTTATCACCAGTTCTCACTGGGACCCTCTGCTGAAAAGGCTTTCCAGGGGCTGATGGCTCTAAAGAGTTATGGTCACACAGGAAAAAAGAGTTACCTTTTCATTCATCGTTTTGTGGTTTTTCTTTGTCTTCTTCAGGAACTGTTTCAAGCTCCCTGAAGACATGTACTCAGTGATGAAGATAACCTGTGGGGCAGCATGACAGGTTACCCTCCACCTTGCTAATTACCTAACAATGAGAACCCAACAGCCTGATGGCTGCACTTACCCTGGCCTTGTTCTCTTTGACATCAGCCCAGTATTTGTGGAACTTCACAATGTTGAGATGATCCAGCTGAATTAAGTTGTCAAACACTGCTTTAACTTTTTCCTTAACATCAGAAAGACAAAAACATGTCATATCAGAGACCACACCAAATATCCCTATTTCTTCTTGGGTCTTGGTCCCTTCAAACACTAATGTATGTCAAGCTCCTATGCTAAGAACAGGCAGGATCCCATTTTCTTCTGCATCTCAGCAGTGTGGTTTGATTGCCAAGTCTAAATGAACACAAGGTCTCATGGAAATAACACAACAGTCTTCCAGGACATTTCCTATACAGGCCAGGCTTAAGCCAAATTTGCTACATTTGGACAGCACAGCATTCCAAACCCAGCCAATAATGAACACAAAAAGTATCCATAATCTCACCCCAGGGCAGGGTATGCTTCTCACATCCTGTTGGGAGACACATCAACTTACTTCCTGAAGCTTGAAGTTCTTCCGCTCAGAAAACTGAACTTCATTCCAAACAACTTCCACACCTTCCTCCGTATCCATGGCCAGGTAGGCACTGTCAATCCCCGGGACATTGCGCTGGTTCACCTGGAGGGAAGGGTGGAGAGACCTGTGAGCTCTAAGCCAGCAAGACCTGACCACTGCCATGCAGCAATCACTGGAAAATTATGAACTCTGCTCATTAACGTTTAATTAAATGAGAATTCCAGGACAGGATTTGCACATGTATCTTGGAGCAGGGCATATCCAAAACATGAGTCACTGCAGAGCATGTGAGCAGCAGGTCCTGAGCACACCGCTGGGAAAACCTCGTGTGCACAAACGCTGTGTTGCAGCAAAGCTGCCTTCTGCCAACAATGCATTAGATTTTCATGGTTCAGGACACCTGTAGCTCATTCCACCACAAAAAAAACCAAAACACCCCAACAATACAAAAGGGATGCAGAAATGTCTCAATAACTCAGATACAGCTTTGTGAAAGAATCCTCTGAAAGGTGATGATGCCTGAAGCTCAATCAAAGCAGAGAGGAACAAGGGGAAAGTTGAAGCTTCAGAGGTGGGAACCAATGACACAAGGGAAACCACTACAGTAATTTCTTCAGTTAATAATTGTAAACATTGACCCAGCACAAGTATATCCACACTGAATATTAAAGACACAGGTGAGCATTCAGAAAGCAGCAAGGTAAGGGGAGGGGATTGAGAGTTTGGAGCCCAGCACGAGAATGGCAAGGCTGTGGGAGGACATAAGGCTGAAAGAGCTGCAGGGATCAGAGGTGAACCCTGCTCCCAGCAGCAAAGTTTTCTATAACATTGCTCTTCTTCAGATATGTAGCAGCATTCAAAGATGAACATGGTCTCTTTCATCCAACATCCAAGGCATTTACTGTAATCACCTTTGCCAGGCAATTTCACAGGCACACAGCAGTCACAGTCATGGTGAATATCCCACCACGCCAGGCAACGTGCAGTGACAGATTCAAAGCACTTAGAGAGGACAAGAAGGTAGAATTCACCTTTTAATTGTCAACCAGCAATCATTCCTGTTCCCATCTGCTGATCACACACCAAGAATCACTTCACAGATTCATAGGACAACCTGAGTTGAAAGAGACTCCCAAGGATCACTGCAGTCCAGCTTCTGGTCCTGCACAGGAGAACCCCAAGAATCCCACCCTGTGTCTAAGAGCACTGTCCCAACACCCCCTGAGCTCAGACTTACCAGGCCTGGCAGCTTTCAGCTGACCCAGCTTCCCCCTGACGTAACCCTTAACACAGATTTGCCTGGCAAATTCAGACCTGACACCTCCAAAACATTTCAGAGCTCCTCCTTCTCATATTGTGTCACCTTCTCTTCCCTCACTAGGGACCCCATCAGCATCTTATTGCTGGAAATTTCTCACCTTAAATAAGAGCTCCCTCAAAAATCCCTTCTCCCTTGGCTGCCACTTTCACATGATCAAATTTACCCAATTTCATAATTCCAGCTGAGTTATTCTATCCAATTCCACTCCTTCCATAGCCTGACAACACAGAGTGACAGGCCACCAATGCAGGTGGGATTCTTCATGATCTCCCAAGTGATTCTGAACAGGCCCAATGACATTTAATACTCTGACACTGCAGGGACAAAGGGTGCCAAGCACAGTAAAACCAGAGTGACACAGACTTCTGTGGCAGCTGAGCAGTAAACGAGTGTGACACAACCAGCTAGCTGCAAGGTGTGGCCCAGGCAGGAATAAGGGGTACAGGCCATAATTACACAAGGAGAGGCTGAGCTACAGAGGACAGCCATGGAAAATCATCACAGGAGGTGACAGCCGAGTATGAACCACCCCACTTCCTTCCACTTGAGCTGCCTACATAACTGAGGGGTGAAAGGACTGAGATTTGGTTTAGGAAGGTGTTCATATTGATCCTAAAAACTTCATTTTTAAAATATATATGTATATAATACTGATATATACATGCTGATACCAACAAGCTGTTATGCTTCATCATTAAAGAAAGCTGAAGGAATAAAAAGAATTAAGGATAGAACATTTATTACTTCAAATTTTAGAATAACTAATATCTTAGGGATGACAACAGCATAAAATCACCCAGTACAATGACTAAAGGTGAATGGCAAAAGGTTTTAACTTCAGGGAAGATGAAAGAAGCCCAAGGCAGCAGAAAGGCAGATGGGTGTGAGCAGTGCAAGGACAAGGTAACAGCCACCACACTGACACCCAGTGCCCCTGCATCCCTTTGGATTCTCCTTCTTCATCCCACCTGCTGCCTGTTCACAGCAACATCAAGGCTGGAGAAGACATCTAATTGATGGAGTCCAACAGTTAAAGGCCCTCCACTGAAAGGCATCCAGCTTTACTGGACTGAGTAAGTCCTCAAGTACTAGCAGCTACTGAAAATTTGCCCCAGGAATGCAGCTGGGGCTGTGGACCTATCACATCTCCCACTTCTGACCAAGCTCCCCGAGCATAAATGATTTCCATGACTCATAGGCAATATCCCAGAGCACCAGATATGACTCAGGACAGCAAACCCAGCTGACATCACCGACGGCAATTCTGTTCCTCAGGAGATTCAACAGCTTGGGGAGAGGAGTAAAAGGGGAAGAATGCAGACAGACAACTGAAAGGCAACAGCAGATTCCTCCTGCTTGCCAAATCCCTACCACACATCCTTTCCCATGCTCGGCAAAGCAGAACCCTAAATCCTCATGAAAGCATTGAGATAATTTATTACTCTGGTGTTTGTCCCAGACAGCCCCACACCAGGCAGCTTCTGCACTCTGAGGGAGGAAGTGACCTGGGCCCAGCTTAGCCCGAATTTCTGCAGCACAGCAGGAGAAGCAGCTCAGCACTACAGAAGCACAAACACAGCTCTGAGTCCATGTAAGCAAAAGGCAAGGAAACTCAACAAGAACTTCAAGTACTTAAAGGAGTACGGGTGGAGCGGCACAGTGGCTCTAAGGGGGAAAAAGTCTGGAAGTCAAATTTCCCTTTGGAAAGTTATTCCGTTGTCCCATGCATATTTTTTCTATAGCTCTCAAACATCTGTGTATCTATTGCTGAAAGAGCACAGACTTTTGGAGAGACATTCTGTAGTTCACATGATCTGTCAATTAAACAAAAAATACAAATAGCCTAAATCACAAGTCACAGTGATGATTTACAATCTAGGGATAAAAGGTATAAAAACTGGGGAAAAGTCCACAATAACTAGAGTATCAGTAGAGAATGGACTTGCACATTGAAAAAGAGCTGGGGAGTGGCAGCACACCAGGCCACACCCCCACAAGAAGCCCCAGCTCTGGTTCAGAGTAGCATGAATATGTTACCCAGTTTCCCTGGCCACTTGTTTAAACCAGAGAAAGGTGAAAGCTCTGCCCAAACACCTGGGAAGTGGTTGGGACTAGAGATAAGAGACCCCCAGAACCAGCAGCTGGGCCATGAGGAGCTCAACTTCTTTTTTAGCTGTGGGGAAACTAAAAGCAGCAAATTTACCAACAGAAATTGAACAAAAAGGGCTCTCTGGGATCTGAGCCTAATCCAGAATGTAACACTATAAAGAATGCCAGGTCCACTGCAGGCAAAGGGAAAAGAAATCCAACAAAGCAAAGAAATAATGCTACTTCATGTTTTAATTCAACTGACACATTGGCCTTGGCAATTACAGTCATGGTAGTGAAATGCTGAAAGGCTTTAATTCAACAAGAAAATTAAAATAACCAGTGTAATTTAACAGCAGTAAGGAAAGGAAGGTATTGATTATTACCTTTGCTGTACAGACCACCTCATGCAGCAACTAAACTGCAAGGAAAACACAATCTGACCATCAGCAGTATATTAACTGTTATTCCAGACATGCTGCAACAAGTAACAGGATCAAACACATCAGCAAGAAGTCAGTCTGTTAACCCAAGGCACACAGCCGGACCATCTAAAGACAGAGCTGGAAGTCCTCGGTGTGCTGAAGCTCTCCTCGCTCCAGCTCAGGAGCTGCTGTGCTGAATCCCAAGGCGAAGCTGACACATCCCTGTGTCTGCCATGGGTCCTGCCCTGTGCCGACCTGCACAGCTGAGCCCTGCTGCGAGCCCAGGCCGCTCCTGCCAGCACAGCTGCACCTGCCCTGCGGAAAGGGACAGGCTTTGAACCCCTGCATGGTGTCACACGGCCTGTGTCACACCCCATTCTACAGGCTGTCACCCAGCGGCCAGCCAGCCTCTCCAAAAGCACCCTGACAAATCTGGCTGAACAACGCGCTGCAGGACAGACCTAACTACAAATTCCCACCAGGAAACTCCCCAGGCAGTAGATCAGCAGTTTACAAAAACACAAAAGTTACGACAGGAGCCAAGATACTTTGAACAGAAACAGCACTTCTCTGGATACAGTCACTGAGACTGGAAAAGCATTCTCAGATCATCGAGTCCAGCACTCCCCCAGCACTGCCAAGGCCACCACTAACCCATCCTGCACAGTGCCACATCCACACTGCTTTTAAATTGCTCCAGGGATGGGGACTGCACCCCTGCCCTGGTCAGCCTGTGCCAAGGCTGGCCGTATCTTTAAGGAAGGAGTTTTCCTTAATACCCAACCTGGACCTCCTGTGGCCCAGCCTGAGGCCATTTCCCCTTGTCCTGTCCCTGTTCCCTGTCAGCAGAGCCCGACCCCCCCTGGCTGTCCCCTCCTGTCAGGGAGTTGTGCAGAGCCACAAGGTCCCCCCTGAGCCTCCTTTTCTCCAGGCTGAGCCCCTTCCCAGCTCCCTCAGCCTCTCCTGGGGCTCCATTCCCCTCCCTGCTCCAGCCCCTCGATATCTTGTTGGGAGGGGCCCAGAGCTGCCCCCAGGATTTGAGGTGCAGCCCCACCAGTGCCAAGTATCCCAGAGGGAAAGAGGCATCATTCCACCTATTTAATGGATACCAGAAACTAATACAGACTGCCTAATGCAAGACCAAAGGGACGAGTGCTCAGTTTCACTTGGTGCTTCAAAACAAACAAACAACCCAGTGGAGTCCAAGAGCTCAGTCATACTGAGCTGGTCTGCGGCAGGAGGAAGAGGCAATGATTCTTCATCCCTAA